ACCTACATGCTCGCGGAGTACCTATGGCGGCTGTATGTTGCGCATTAGCTGAAAGACGCGGAGCATTCGTATAGTATGTGCATACAGCGCGGTGGGCCGCCACAGCGTTGATGAGGGTCTTTTGAACAAGACGACGCGGAAAAGACACTATAACCTACAAGCATACTTTTGCTTTGAGGACGACGGTCCTGACTCTGGTTGTTGTGGACCCTTGTATGCACGAAGACAGGAACGAGATCACCGAGAAGGATATGGACTTGAATCCGTTCAGTAAATTTGACTCCATGGTTGAATCCGAGTTACGTTCTGGTGTACATATTTGGAAACAGAGGTCCCAAGTTATAGAAATGTTACAGGCTGACAAAGAACGATTGGGGTCAACCGGAACACCGCCCTACTCGAGCACAGCTGGGGTTAGGCGCATAGTCTCGGATCTCACTGTGTTACGTTGTCAGTGGTGCTGCAAGGCCAGCGAGAATAGAACCAACCGCTTGAACACTTTCATCCTCTGCTGAACCCTAAGATCCTTAGATGGTTTTCCTCTGACTGCGTGCGCCTCATTCGTATTACACGGTTTGGAAAAACCCGGTAAAGTACGATGCAAGCGGGATTGGGGCGGCAGTATATCGTCTTGGCGATCGTCCGACGGAACACCTCGCCAGCAGCCACCGGCACTTGCATATTGCGGAGGTTTTATGTTCAAGATGGCGGCTTTATCTTCGCTTTAAGAAAGGCTTGGGTGTTCCGTGTTTGGTGCTCTGTGTTATCACGCTCGAGTCAAGCAAATATTATTTTTAGCCAGTGCATGTTGGCGACACCCAGCCGAGCCACGAACACGAGATGGCAAAGAGAAAGAAAAACCGAACGGTGGGGTTCCCCGTGGAATACGAAATGGCGTCACTTGGTGCGAGTGGTCAACAGGGGACAACAGGGCCTCCGGCTCTCAGCGCCACCTCAGTACGACGGGGAGACGACGGCAACCCGCCCTAGTTTTTGGCAAGCCACATGCGCAGGTCGAGCCCGTCCTGCATGTTTAATTGGATGCATGACCCTTGTGTGGATCCATTCGTTGGTCGCTCAACCCCATCGGGGCGCGCACCCCTGTCGAAACAATGCAGCGAGAAGGCAGAGCGCCCATTCGTAGCTGCGAACTCTATTTCTCCATTCCAGTTGTCCCGTTGTCTCCCTGTCGTCCTGCTTGCTGTGCTGCACACACTTTGGGATAGCCATCAGCCCGCCTTCATTTTCTCTGTTTCTTTGGCAACCGTGACTTACACTCGCTCTGCTTGACCACTTTCGCTTTCCGCATCAATCGTTACGCCAATTCAGCCCCCATTCCTGGCCGGTTGCTGTTTTGTCGAGCATCCCTTTTTTTTCATCGTCACGACTTCGCGCAGGCCTGTTTTCTGGTCGACCCAAACAACCAGTCAGGGGTTGCACCGCAGAAACCCAGCGCAACCGCCCTGAATTCCGTGTTTTCTGTCCACGACCACGAGCGAGAAACCACCGCATACAAAATCTCTCCGACGTGGAACAGCATTTTATAACCGGCACTTTTGGTCCTCCGGTGATTGAGTTCTTAGGACTCTTGCTACCCATCCTGTTGGGGTCTCTCTCGCCCGCCCGCTTCTGCCTCTCGCTGTCGACGAAGCCGTTATCATGAGGGTAACACTTTCCATTAGCCAGCTGGCTGTTGCCCTGCTATCCTTAACACCAGTGGCTTCCGCGATGTCATGGCCAGAATGGCTTCCAGAACCTGATGCCTTGGTGGTGCGGCAAGCAACATGTACGAGTACCCTCAAGAGGATATCAAAATTAGGCTGGACCACTAACCTTATTAACTCGCAGCTGCCTCTGCAACACCGACATCGGATAAGACAGCGAAAAGCGATGCGACCCCTACGTCCGCAACTAAAAAGGTCATCACGACGAACCTCAACACTGGCGGCGTGACGGAGACAGGGAGCAATAAGAACTCAACGAAGACCAAGTCTGGTAACTCGAAGCATACCTTATACAACCCACAAGACCCGGCCGGTGCTGTAGTTATGAAGACGCCTTCCATCACACAGGGTACGCAGATGTACAAGATTGGCGACTTCGTTACGTGGGGCTGGAACTACACGAATCTGCAGGGTACACCCACGGCCGTTGACGTGCTGGTCAGCTGCTCCAAGGCGACACAAACGTGGACACTCACCCAGAATATGACGTTCGCCACCGCCGGTTCCTTTACCTGGGATACGGGTGCGTACCAAGAGACGGCCATTGCGAGCCCGCTGCTAGTGGAGCAATACACGCTACTAATCCACGACTCGGACGGCCCCATCACTGCGACTCCCGAGCCCGGCTATCTCTCGCCCTTCTCGGGCTTCCTTTTCGGCCTCTACACGCCACGGCCCTACACCCCGCTTGGCGAGTGGAAGTGTGTGACTTGCAGTGCTGGTGTGTCAGACATGGAGAGGAGAGCTCTGGGCGGGGCTGTGGCTATGAGTGTTTTGACGGTGCTTAGTTTCACTTGGTTCGTCGGAGGAATTGGTGCGCTGCTCTGATTTTTGAGCAGTTCAAATAAGAGCGGGCAGTTATACATGTTGTAATGTGTGTCGGGAATTGGGCCAAGGCTGGCGAGAACACTTTTACGAACATCATTATAATACCGGGGATGGAGGTGCAAGAGAAGCGGCGTTGGGTAACAAGACATGGTTTTGTGTCGTCATTTACTGGATCATTTGCTTGGATTTGGGGGCTCCGCGAGAGAGAAAAAAGTCTGGAGACATAGTTTGGTGCATGTACGGTATGTATCTCTTGCATGGCAGTTTGACGATCTCTGCATATACCTGGTAAGTTAGCTAGGTAGCTTATAATGAAGCATTTCTCCTCATCTCAAGGTTGCGGGCTGCATGGTATGGTGTACCTGACAGCTTTCACCGACTGCTGGAGTAACTGTTGGCACTTTTATATACATAATTTTTTATTTTTTTTCGAGTTCAAGACATGACCCTGCTTGCACCACCGCTCCCATAATGTCGCTTGGTAACCAAACCATTGCTAGACTCCTTCAAGGACACCGCAGGGAACGCTTAAACCATACGAAGCGAAAAACCCCCACCCCGCTCCTCCTTCTCCCGCCCGGAGAAGATTCCGCTGAAATCCACCGCGCCAAGCTCCACCGCCTGTCCGCCACGCGGAGGCGCCAGTGGCGTCTGCTTGCGCCGTCGCCGCTCCTGGCCTGCCTTGCTAGGGAATGTGGGGAACATGGCCTCCTGCTTAGGCTTGGGGTCCTGCGCAAAGTACTCATGCGCGAGCATCTGGCGCGCCGTGGGGCGGCGCTCCGGGTCCAGCGCGAGCAGGCTGCCGAGGAGGCCGGCGCCGGCGGCGGTGAGGAGGGGGAAGCGGGCGCGGATGGCAGAGCCCGAGGAGGCCGGGGTGGGCGGGGGGAGGCGTAGGGCGCGCGCGTTGGGCAGCCGGCGGAAGCCCGGCCAGGTCTCGTCCGAGGGGAGCCCGCAGAGGGCGAAGATGCGCGTCAGCTCGTCGACCTCGTTCTTGCCCTGCAGCAGAGGGTCCCGGGTCAGGAGCTCGCCGAAGATGCAGCCGACGGACCACAGGTCGATGGCCGATGTGTAGCGTGTCGCGCCCAGGAGCAGCTCCGGCGCCCGGTACCATAGCGTCACGACGAGCTGGGTGAGCTTGGCGGGCGGCGGGTCGCCGACGTACCGCGCCATGCCGAAGTCGGCGACCTTGAGCTGGCCGCGGTTGTTGAGGAGCAGGTTCGAGGTTTTGAGGTCGCGGTGTAGGATGCAGTTGTCGTGCAGGTACGCGACGCCTGAGGCCAGTTGGAGGAGGAGGGTCTTGACTTCGGACGCGAGAAAGGCCTCGGGCATGTCTTCGAGGATGCTCTTGAGATCGTGCTCGACGAATTCGAGGACGAGGAAGATGCTGTTGGAATGAACGTTAGCTGCTAGAAACAGAAAAGGGGGGTGGGAGTCAGGGGTGGTACTTTTCAATCTTGCTCGTGTCCTCGCTCACCACCACCTCTCGCAGCTCGACCACATTCCGGTGGTCGCAGTCCTTGAGGATCTGGATCTCGCGCAGTCCCGTTACAGGCAGCCCGCTGCGGTCCTTGGGGTCAATCTTGAGCCGCTTGAGGGCTACGACCGTCCCCGTGGCTATCTCGCGCGCCCGTGCAACCCAGCCGTATGCGCCCTCCTCGATATCGTTGAGCTTGTCGTAGTTCTCGACGCTCCGACACCTGCCGAATGCGCCCCCTTCGAAACGCAGCAGCTTCGTGCTGGCGGGACCGCTGTCTTGGTTGGCGGCTGCTGGGGCAGGAGATCGGGTTTCTCGTTCTGGCGATAGCCTCCTTCGTTTTGCTGGGGGACCACTGCCGCGATCGTCCTCGTCTCCGCCTCGTGGTTGTGCTGTCCCCGCGGTACTGACCTGCGTCTTGGTTTCCCGCGCTTGTCGCTCTGCCTCAGCTCTCCGCGCCTTTTCGGATTTGAGGCGCTTCTTTTCCTCCCTCTCCTTCCTCAGCTTCGCCTCCTGGACGGCATCGTCTTCGTTGTCGGCCCAGCGGGACTTGGCTGTGCTTGCCATGGCGTTTATCGTGTGCTGTCTCTTTCCCTTCTTCACCGACCCGTAATTGTGCCAACAAACTCTGATCTTTCTGGCATTTCCAAAGTCGCAGCACCCTGTTTCGGGGGCTTGTACCGTATCGCGTTGGCGCACCGACGTCACTGGAAGTATTTGTTTGGTGAGGGTTGCGATGGGATGGAGCAGATGTAGAAATTAAAGGGTTTATTTGGAGATTTCCTGGTTGGTCGAAGCTTGGGCCTGGCCCCAAAACCCAAACTCAACAAACACTTTGCGGCCTGCAGCCAATCTTTGTTCAAAAGCTCCAAAAATGGAAGAGAATCTGGTAACCGCAACTTGGTTGTCACGTTGGGTTACTGATAGCAAACATCACCTCTTCAGATAAGAGGATGGAGATGCCAGCAAAATTATGCTCCCACCAGGGATCGAACCTGGGACCTGTCGCGTCCACTGAAATTCAGATGTGAGGCGAACGTCATACCACTAGACCATAGGAGCCGTATAGACAATATGAGCTATCTATAGGCACCCGTCGATAGGGCTATGTTGACCGGTAGCTCTCTTTAGTAGTTTGTTAGCTCAGGATATTCCCGCCAAGGATAGGTACCTATTAAAGCCCGATGAGGCCTGTTATCGTAGAAAAAAACTCTATCGACTCTTGGAAGGCATATTGGCTTTTTAATAAAGCCTATTTAGTGTTTTTATAAGTATAATTAGTGTTTTAGATGGCCTCTTCGATATTGGGGAGGCTTAATTGAATATACCATATATCTTTTAAAGTATTAGAAATCCCGTCGTTAATATCCATTGTAAGCTTTAATAAAGTTCTAAAAGGTATTTTTGGTGTTTTATAAGGTCTCTTTCATACTTGGAAAGGCTTTCTGAAATATTAAATATGCCTTTTTTAACACGAAAATTGCTGTCTCTGCTGCTCAAAAGCCTTTCCAGAGCTTCAATTACTCCTAGGGCTAGGGAAAAGTCACGCGCTAATAAATAAACCAGGGTTAGGTTGTATGGGTGATGGGAAAGAACGGGATAGATACGGCAAGCAACCACGTGGTCCGCTTACCTACATAGTAGTTTCCAGGTTGGCAACTCTCCAAGCTCTCCGCTGCGTCAATGTGTAGCGTTGCTGACTGTGCTGCGGCCGTCAACTCAGCGACCTAGACATGATAGATTATGAAGTGGAATGAATGCCTTTTCCTGTAAATCACAGAGTTGATCGGACTCGAGGTCGGACCTATGTGACTTGAACAGCCTGAATCCTAGATCCTGCTCGACCCTGACTTCACAATGTTGGAGGGGTAGCAGTTCAGCGGCGATGAGCACGAGCGTTGTGGGGAAACAGATGCGGCTGCAGGGCCCTGGGGCTGAACGAACCAGCAGCACCTGGGGAGTGAACCCCGCCCCGGCTCACCTAGACCCAGAACCAGACGGACCTTTCCTCGCGAGCCCACCCTGACTACTGAGCCGACTTTATCTTCAAGCCACGGACCTTGAATTCCTGCCCGGCGCACCACATAATATTTGTACCTCCCATTATCTCCACGAGCAGTCTCCCACGCGACCCAGCAAACTCCCTGCGCACACCATGGCCGGCCGCTTTGTGCGCGCGTCGAAGTATCGTATGTCCCCTCCTGATTCCCCTCAATGCCCTGCGAGCTGCCTCAAAGGCCCATGCGACATTGTCGACAACCTTGATGCTAACCGGTCACCGCCCGGCAGGACATGTCTTCGGCAAGTCCACGCGAAGGGAATTCTGCTACGACAACCTCCACATCAGCCGCAATGCCTGGGATACCAACCTGATCAAGGTATGTTGTTGAACATGCGGCCTCGCCCGGCCGACTCCACCACTCTCAATTGTCCTCGACAGCCCCCCGCCTTCCTCGAGCCGCCCAGTGCTGATACTCACCCCGCAGGCCAACCCCGAGTACCTCTCAGTCAATTGGGAGTCCGGCGGCGGCGGCGCGTTTGCCGTCATCCCCCTCAATGAGCGCGGAAAGCTACCCGACCAAATACCCTTGTTCCGTGGCCATACTGCCACTGTGCTGGACACAGACTGGTGAGCGTTCCCTACGTCGCGTCGACCCCAGAGGTGCTTGCCCGCCTAACTCGCACCTAGGAATCCGTTCAACGACCGCATCATCTCCTCCGCTTCCGACGATGGCAAGGTCTTCATCTGGCAGGTGCCCGAGGACTTCACCCTCTACACGGATGCCGAAGAGGTTCCCAGCGTCGCCCCCGTCAGCAGACTGACCGGTCACTCGAGGTAGGAAGTGCTCCGTCCAGCTTCCTCTTTCCTTACTGATCCGCTCGTCCCACAGAAAGGTCGGACAGGTTCTCTTCAACCCCGCTGCCGAGAGCATCCTCGCATCAGCATCTGGTGATCTCACCATCAAGCTGTGGGATATCACTACAGGCCAGGCCGCCCTCTCCCTCAAGCATGCCGATATTGTGCAGAGTCTCTCGTGGAGCGCCAACGGTGCCCTTCTTGTTACCACCTCACGAGACAAGAAGCTGCGCGTTTGGGATGTTCGTCAGCAAACGCCTGCGCACGAATATCCGGGCCACGAGGGTGCAAAAAACAGTCGTGCCGTGTGGCTGGGCGAGCACAACCGTATTGCGACCACCGGATTTTCTCGCATGAGCGAGAGGCAGCTTGCACTGTGGGAGCCAGGCAACAAAGACCCCATCGGAGGCTTCAACTCACTCGACTCTATCTCTGGCATCTGCATGCCTTTCTGGGGTGGGTCTTCTTTTTTTTGCAAACAGCTGTTAATTTTGCGATAATAGTTGACTTGTGCAATGCAGACGACGGATCCAACTGCCTATACCTTGCCGGAAAGGGGTAAGCCAATCACTCTACACTAGGTGATATCATATGCTGACTCTATTCTATAGCGATGGCAACATCCGATATTTCGAGTATGAGAATGACAAGTTCGAGTTTCTCTCAGAGTACAAATCCGCCGATCCCCAGCGAGGTGTTGCATTCCTCCCCAGGCGCGGTATCAATGTAAGTTTTCACGCCAACTCCAAACATGGCACTGTGCGGCATTGACAACATCAGGTTCACGAGAACGAGGTCATGAGAGGTTTCAAGACAATCAACGACAGCTACATTGAGCCGATCTCATTCACAGTTCCCCGCCGAGCCGAAACCTTCCAGTCCGATATCTTCCCTCCCGCCATCGGTCTGAAGCCCGCCTTTTCTGCCAAGGACTGGCTCGATGGCAAGACAGGTGTTCCGCCCAAGATAGACCTGGAGAGCGTTTATGAGGGCAATGCGCCTGTTGAAGTTCCTGCGGACTACAAGCCGTTTGTGGCGGCCCCCGCCCCGGTGCCGGCTGCTGCTCCTGCCCCCAAGAAGGAGCCAGAGCCGGCACCTATCGCCTACCGCGCCCCCCCTACTGTGACCGACCAAAAGGCGTCGATTTCGTCCATGGCGAGCAAGTACCAGGACAACGAGGAGTCATCGGACGACGACGACGACGACGACGCCGAGACTTCAAGCTTTGAGGAGGTTGCTAGACCCACCCCACGAACTACCGCCCCGGTCCGGTCCGTGCCGAAGGCCGCCTCACCTGTCACAGCTAGTGCCCCTACTCTCACCAAGCCGCCCTCCCCGGTCAGGTCGCCTCAGGCCTCTCCTCCTATCACCCGCGCCACCCCCGCGGCTGCTCCGTCACCTTCGACTTCGGCCGATGCCCCCCTGCTCAAGGAAATCAAGTCGCTCCTCGAACACCAAAACAAGATCATCGGTGCGCAGAGCGACAAGATCTCGGCGCAGAGCGACATCATCAGCGTGCTGGCGGCCGAGGTCGAGACCCTCAAGAAGCGGGTTGGGCCAGGTTCGCAGGAGCAGAGCGAGCGCATTCGACAGCTAGAACTCGAGCTAGAGGAGGCTCGATCGTGATTGATTGGTGGCGTACGGGCGTACCGTGAAGTTGCGATTGGAAAGGGGCTAACGACGATGGTCCCGTGGATAGTTCGGAGGGCTAACGACCGTGATGTTGCGGATGAACCTGGACCGACGATGACGGGGATTTGTATGTGCCGTCTTGCGTTCGTACCAAAGGGTCCGTCATTTTTATGGACGGGGCCCGGGACTCTTCTTTCGGGTGACGTTTTTACATTTTGTTCAAAAGCACGCCGGATGGGAAAAGGGGTCTTGGGTCTTTGGCGTTCTCCTTAGGTTCACTGTTCAAGGCATAGTACACCCAAAATACCCAATTGCGATCGACGAATCTCTGCTGTCTGTTATGCTGCAGGTACCCGCGCGGGACTAGACGAGGTTTCGATTTTTCGAGAGGATCGACTTCCCAACTTTTCCTCTAGGACTGATTTCTTTGTTTATGGTGATCTATGGGGAATGATAGGTCGACGGTGTTTGGCAAAGTTGCCGGATGCCTATCGTGTTATTGTCTTTGTCCCGAAATCCGCTTATACCTCTTTACATGGCTTGTTCTTTTGATACTATCATATGGGTAAGGCATACGATCTCTTGTGTTGTCATGGAGAAGGTTCTTTTGGCAAAGATGATATAGCATATGTATACCTTGTTTCTCTCACAAAGCCCTTCTTATTCTCTACACCGGAAAACCATACCACGAAGTGACAAAATACCAGTGCTGTTGCCCGCTGGTGTATAGAACAGTCCAGCCTTGTTCCTTGTCCGTTTCAAGAATCAAGGTGTGCTGTTCTTGAACACCGGGCTAGCTTATGGTATTTGCGTAGACCCGGGGAAGTTGATATTATCACCTTGCCCCCTACCTCCCCTTGAACATTTGTCTCCATCATCAGCTATCACAGCACCACCCGTCCATACTAACCTAGCCCCCTGAAAATCTTGGATACCATTACCAGTTGTTTTCCGAGATGCCAGCCCCAACCTATTTCCTCCCCACCGTAGACGAGCCTCGAGCCTACCCCGTCCACCCCTGCATCGCGGCCCGGAGGGCCCTCTACACCCTGCCGCCCCCAGCCGCCACCCACGACGTCCACCACAACGCCGTCTCCCTGGACACGCAGCGCCGAGACGAGCCCAACGAGCCCTGGCCGGTGCGCGTCATCCGCGCTCGCTGGCGCCGCGACTACCGCACCTTCTTGCTCGTGCACGGCTTCCTCGACAAGTACCGCTGCAAGCGCAGCATCGAGGTGCCCGTGCCCAACACGCTGACTTACCCGAACGTGGCCTCCTGGGAGGGCCGGACGGTGTTTTGGAGCGCGGCCGAGTGGCTCTGGGTGGCTGAGGATGAGGCGGAAAGAAAGTGGGAGTCGTTTTGGAACTGCCGGAGGGGGTTCTTGTGGAGGGGCCGGTATGATTCCGAGACGCAGTGGGAGTTTGAGAGGGACGGCTGTCTGCGGTGTAGCGTCAAGGGAGGCAGGTGCTCGAGCAAGGAGGGGTTGAAGGGCGTGTGGGAGCGCGAGCGGTGCGGCCGGTGCGAGCGCGCCGGGGCGCTGTCGTGCGTGCTCTGGCGGCCGTGGAGGTTTGA